CCTTGCGGTTACCTCACCTTCCTTCCCATCGTGGCAATTGAGTCTAACTGAAAACCAATGTCGAAGTGTGATGGTAGGTATTGTTGTGAGAATTGCGGTCTTGGATATTCCAATCCCTACCCTCTTATGACGGTTCCGGGAGGGGGGACCTCAAAAATATAAGTTACATTTTAGGGTGGGGACCCAGGGGGTCAAAAAATGTAACTTACCCCCCCCAGACACCATCGAAATGGGTAAAGGGTAGGGGGGGGCTCAAAAAAATGATGTAACTTGTGACCTGGCACGTGCTTACTTACATTTTACAACCCCCCCCAGGGTGCGTCGGCAGATCGACAGGGTGGGGGGGGTAACGTACAACCTGGCAGGCCTGAACTTACATTTTTTAAACCCCCCTACCTATAGCGTTGGCTACCTAGAGCGTTAGTGGGCGTTGGCTTATGTCAGCTGAAATGCTGCATAATGGTGCAGATTCACAACATGGTGATGCAATTTGCTGCAAGCTTCCAGACGCAGCCAATGAAGCCAAGAGAAAATCCTGACTATACGCGCACACAAAATGATGCCTCACCACCAAGGAAAAATAGCCTCAAAAAATATAATTTACAATTGGTCCATGCATCCAAACCCTCAGATTTTGCAGGAAAAATTGGGTTATGGGAGAAAGGTTGACCTCACAAATTGTAACTTACATGTTTGCCACATCTCCAACCCTTCAGAATTTACAAGGAACTCGGGTGTCCCCCTGAATGAATTACGTTTTAGCATACTGAAAATCACACGCACGTAACGCCACGAAATGCAAACAGGGGACAAGCAGACAGGGGAGCAACATGATTATCCTTGGTCTCCTCCAAAAGAAAGGCAACCGTGTGAGACAAAACATTGACCTCTCCCTTGTTGTGTAGCATGTGGATGATCCTTTGCTATGTTTGGGCTTCGCTTTGTTGCCTTCCTTTGGGGTCCTGAGTGGGAACATGTATGTTGGTTTTTGCTTGGCAGTTTGCTTCGGGGGTGTTTCCTTTTCTTCTTTGTTGATGAGAACTCAGACCAACTGCTGTTCCCACATCTTTGCTTTCTAGCAGGGGACAAGCAGCCAGGGCAACAACAAGCAGTGATTAAGCTTTGCTATGTGTCGGCTTGGTTTTGGCCCCCTTCCTTATGGGTCCTGAGTGGGAACATGTGAGTTTGCTTTGGGTGTGTTGCTGTTCTTCTTTGTTGATGGTGACTCAGACCAACTCAGACTAACTGCTGTTCCATCATGTTTGCTTTTCAGCAGCAAGCCACACAAAAGCAATTAAAGGCACACTCACAAAAAGGCAAAAAGACTCGAGGGGGGTTCAAAAAATGTAAGCGCCCCACAGAGCCTCAAAAATGTAACTTACATGTTTGAGGTCATTACCCAGAAAGCCTCAAAAATGTAAGTTACTTTTTTTGAGGCCATCTCAAAAATAATGTAATTACATTTTTTGAGGCCCTCTGCACAGGAAAATGTAACTTACAATTTTGGGGATCCCCCCTCAGGAAAGGGTAGTGATGATATTCCCATTTGCTTTGACCGGACCAACCCGGCTGACCCATCAGCCCTTTCCTGACTATCTGCTGGGCGAACTTGGGCGTTTCCTTTTCCCGGCGTGAGACCCTGAAGGTCAACGAATCGCTTCGAAAGGGTGGCGCACCTGTGGCACCGCAGTTGGGAGCGCCAAGAGCAGCTTGGGACATCTACATCCGCAGAAAGTGACCTTCCGGCTGGAGACCAATCGCCACTTTCATCGCAAAAGTACAGAGGTGTGGGTCATGTCGTGTTTCCTGTATCGACCAGGTGTCAGCTTTGGATGGTTTGGGGGATTTGCTACTGTTCACATTTGACCCGCTTGCATACAATTTAAAAACAGAAGGGCCGCCAGACAATTGGCTGCCTGGGTTTGGCTTAGCATATTTATATATACATTGTTCGCATCGATTAGCTACAAAAGACCACGCTGTGGGCCGTGGGTGTGCCTTTCACGAATCCTTCTTCAGGGTCGGACTTGAGTAGATTTAAAGCACTCCAGCTTATCAGATAGGTGTTTGTTGCATGCCAGATCGAAAAAGCCCTCTCTGTGTGCCAGAGAGAACCGTTTCTCCAGGATAGACACTGAGAAATCTCAAAAGTGCTGTCCACCAGACAGACCTTGCGCGCCAAAAAAACGCCCCGTCCGTGGGTGAAAGTTCTGTGGGTTTGGTGGGGCAACGCCACCGAAGATGAACAGAATAGACTACTAGGGAGGTCAACCTGCCAAGGGGGGTCGCCACTTGGCCCCGTGTTTTCGTACCCGTCGTCAGGTACGCAGAGAAGGCACCGCTGGACACGAGGTGGGGCCGAAAGACGTGGGGTTCCCCCGCCGTTCCAATTCGTTCATCGAGTGTGTGAGCGCACACTGAACCGATGAAGTGTGCAGAGACGAACTGATTTGACGGCAGTGCTATCCCAACACTCCCAACGGTAAGTGAAACTCCAGCCGAATCGCCAAGGCTGAATGGGTACCACCCGAAGTCCCTTGGAGCAGCCCAAGCAGGTCGGGGCTGGGAAGAGCTGGCAACATAGAGAAAGGCAACACGCAGAGGTTCCTAAATCGATCCTAAGTGACTTCGGAAAAATATTCTGAGGTCATCCCCCAGCACTGAAATCTAAAGAGTTTCACTCCAGCTGTGGGGCTTCATAGGGCAAAAAGCTTGCAGGTGGTTGTTTTGCTTGTCCGTTGAGCACCTCGTTCGCACCACACTGGCTTCTCCGACTACTTCTAGGTGGCTCTCCAAGTGAGGGCGAGGGCCTCAAGGTGCATCCGGCGTCCGGGCAGTGATGTTACGAGGAAAAGAGGTCCTTTGGCCACATCTTTTAGATATATTTAATGATTCGTTATATCATTCTGTAGATGTCGACACATCATCACACCCCTGAGCTTCTTTATATTTATAACAGTCTATAACTTTTGTTGGGAGTTCATGGGCTGCAGAGGGACACTTGGCTTCAACGCTTGACAGGGTTTTGGAAGATGGATCTTTTTTTGGCATGAGAGCTGTGTGCCACAGTTCGGCATGATGGGGAGATAGCAGGATCGATCCTGCGTCTCAGCGAAGGCAGCTAAGGTTCACAGAAACAGGCTTCCCCACATCACGAATGATGAGTAGAGAGACTGGCAGGCGATGGCGGTCCCTTAGATATGTGATGGAAGTGGGATCAAAGTGTGCGGATAACAATCTGTAATGTACTCGCCATGGGGACAGATTTTGTGATCATGGTACCTATTTGTCGGAAAGGACGCTAAAGCCGCCCTGCAAAATCCTGGAATGCGTTTGATCAAGATCCGGAGCTAAGCCGCAAGGGCAGCGTTGATCTATCAGGATTGTTCATTTATATAGAGGATCCTTGTCCAAGCGTCCGTCCTTCACCAGGCGGTGGTGCCTGAAAGGAGCGGATTTCGGCAGGTGCATCCCATTCACATTCCCCGGGCCCAATCACCAGAGAATAAACAAATTTATAGGATGGTACAGAACAGGTGTTGGTCTTATAGCTCCTCGGCTCCTCCTTTGACCCCACTGTCAAGTAGGTGGCGGGCGCATGCATCGGTGAGACGGACATCATAGAAGCGTGAGACTCCACTCCAAACCATTCCAGACCATCACCAGTCCTTTGAATAGTGAGATAGACTGTGAGACTCCACTCCAAACTGATTAAGAACGAAGCCCACCTCGGCAAAGAAGAAAGCGGACCTTTTCCCATCGCTTTGAGTGGGACAGCGCGCGAAAGGGGTCGGAAGGGGTCGGAATGGGGAACGATTGGGGATGGGTCGTTCAAACCTGGATGGGTCGTCCAGTCCACCATGCGGTGCGAACGACGTATCTTCCAGGTCGGGTCAGCCAAGGTATTCTGGTGCCACTCACAAACAGCATCACGACTGGCATCACTTCCGGCATTCTTGCATGAGCACGATGTGTCCTCGACTTGCAGCACGCTCTTGCTCGGCCGCCGGCTTTGGAAGGAGCCTGAACTTGCATCGTGAGGCCCGGGGAGACCGACCACGAGGGGACCGGCGACAGATTTGGGGAGCTGAAAAGGCAGACAGTTCGATGGGTTTGGACTTAGATGATGTGCCGGACTGATCCGGACTGTTCAAGTCAAACAGTGTCAAACAGTCTTGCGAGAAGAACAGGCTTTTCTTCGTGGGACGGCTTTGGCATCGATGCAAACGTAGGCACCGGATGGCAAAGGTGTAGCAACACATGATCACGCACGTTGCTCAGATGGTAGGCGTTTCCACCAATCAGCTGCTCATGGCAGCATGTTGATCTGTTGATTCGCTCAGTTGAGCTGCCACTTGGGCACCACGTGTCATCAAGGCGCCGGACAATGCGGAAGGAGACGTGGACGAACGACGGAGAGCACCGTCCGTGAACGAGCACGGTGGACAGTGCTCGTGCGATTTGGTTGACTGTTTGGATTGGGGATGCAAAGCTTTGGAGAGTCATTTAACTTGTGTGGAGACTGTCAAATTCTGTAATTCAGGTTGAAAAGAATCGCATTGGCACTTAAGGCTGTGTGTGTGTGTGTGGGGAAATAAGCATGGATGGAAAACAGAAATGACCATGGGCCTGAATCATGTGTTTTTTCAAACATGCTGGAAATAAGGAAAACGAAAAAAGAAAACATAACGTGCGAAAATAATGAGTTTTTTGGCAGGAAATTAGCCCAGCTGGAGACCCCAATAGCAAGATACAAACCGGGACAAAAAGAAAAATCTGGAAACAGCTGCTGTTTTCAACATCGACCATCTCTTCCTTGGACACCATCATCACATAACCGGGACACCATCACAAAATGACCAGGGCACCATCAAAACATGACCGAGACACCGTCACAACATGATTGGGACACCATCACAACATATGCGGGACACCATCACAAGGTGACCGGGACACCAGCATGGCATGACGGGGACACCATCACAACATGACCGGGACACTATCACAACATGACCGGGACACCGTCACATGACCCGGACACCATCAAAACATAACCGGCACACCGCCAAAACATGACCAGGACACCATCACAACATGACCAGGACACCATCAAAACATGACCGGGACACCGTCACAACATGAGCGAGACACCATCACAACATGACTGGGACACCGTCACAACATGACTGGGACACAATCACAACATGACCGGGACACCATCAAAACACGACCGGGACACCATCACAACATGTCTGGGACACAATCAAAACATGATCGGGACACCATCACAACATGACCGCGCCACCATCACATGATCGGGACACCATCAAAACATGACCGGGACACCGTCACAACACGACCGGGACACCATCAAAACATGCCCGGGACACCATCACACAATGACCGGGACACCATCACAACATGACCGGGACACCTTCAAAACATGACCGGGACACCATCACAACATGACCGGGACACCATCAAAACATGACCGGGACACCATCAAAACGGGACACCGGGACACCAGCATCACATGACCCGGACGCCATCAAAACATGACTGGGACACCATCCGCCCACCAGCTCTGACGGTGCCCCGGCGGCGCCCGTCCGCCTATTATTTTTGCAAGACCCCATAGCATGGCAATTGGGGAATAAGGAAAGACAAAACAAGGCGATTCACGAGACAAAACCAAGGTTTTTCGTGTCGGCCCGTGCGCTCGCCCGTCGTACAGCCAGCCCGTCGTTGCTCGAGACTGAACTCCATCTTTGCATGTTATATCGTGAATGAATAAACTCTTTTCAATAGATATGGAACCTGAGATCTGTGTTCCAACATACAGTGTTTGCTTGCCGTGGCCTCCAATCTCTGCATACTTTGGGCTTTACCCACGGAGAATTTCTGAATGGAGCATTGCTGCGTGTATCTTCGGAAACCGATCGACATGGCACGGACGTCCGGTCTCCAGCTGACTGGGGCACTCTGGGCGGTGCTGACTGGGCGATGCCAGGTTTGGTCATGGTGGACATCGCCAGTGTGGACATCGGCGCGCGGAGCGCCCGGTCCGACTGGGTCCGACCCTGGAGGGTCTCCGACCCATTGGAAGAATCTTAGAACATCTGGCGTGGTGCCAGATGTCATCCATAGCTTTTGAAGATACCTCCTTTTGACCATTATATAGTGTAAAGAAGATCTTCATAAGTCTTGATCATAAGCTGACACCCTGTCCTGTGCGTCTACGGGGGCACCATGGAGTCTTCCTCTCAGCTGCTAATGACTTCCAGGTCCAGGCAGATGCCATGATTCCTCGAATGTTTTGACTTCAGTTCTTTAAATGTGTTTTTTCATGGCTTTCCTTCCTCAAAGAAACACTTTATTTTGGCAGCACATGGTTCTGTACCAGGACCCCCTATAGGGGATGTCCAATTATAGTTCCTTAGAAGTTAAGGCTTAAGGGATGTCCGTTAACCACCCCTTAGGCCCGAAACGGGGGCCCTGGTATACAAGTGGTTTTTGGCCCGGGGACCGGTCCCATGCGAGCGGACGGAGGTCGAACGGGCTCAAGATCTGCGAATGCTCGGGCCGCATCGCTAGCGGCTAGCGGGTGAGGGTGTGTGGTGCGGCGTGCGAAGCCGGAGGTTGAAGCCAGTGTCGAAGCCTCCTGAAGTAGTGGAGTCAGGTGATTTGCGGTGTGTTCAGCGCTAGCAGAGATGTGAGGATTGTAACGGGATTGTCGTGTGAAGCGTCCTTCTTTGGGACATTTCAGGTCAGAAGCGATGCATCAGGAAACAGAATTGACTTCAGAATCTGATGCGGCCTAGTACGAGTTCAGTTAGTATGAGCAACTACCACATACTCTGCCATTGTCAAACATTTCCTGCCTTTGTGAAGTGAGACAACACCCCCCAGGCGGTTCTTTTTGTCGCTCTCAGTGGTCTTGAGCCTAGGGTCATGCCCTCAGCTCAGGAGATCTCAGGAGATGTGCAAAGACCCAAACCTTACCTCGAAACGAAACATACGAAACCTCTCCCTGAGTTGGGTTAGTCCAGACATCCTGGGCCGCGCTTGAATTTCCACCAGCAAGTATCAGAGCACCCTACTTGAGACACGTGATCATACCATGAATTCGGAATCTTCAGGTCTAGGTGGGCGGATCCTGAAAGGCAAAGTCAGATCATGATATTAAAATATTTGAATGAACAGGGACAGTTGTTGATATTTACACCCTGATTAACCTTCTTGCACTGCCTGCCTTTGCGGACACCAAATCCTGCATTCCTCAGAAAGATGTGGCGTGGATTGGCCCACCTTGAATTGAATCTAACAGGTCAGCTTCAAAACCTAGGAGAATTCACACTGACCGCGTTTGCGAATGAACATCCGTGAACATACTGATTCCTTCAAGATTGCACGGTGTTGAGGGCGATATGACCGTCAAGACGACGGTGATTGGACCACCGGAGGTCCCCTCCGATGCGATGACCGCGGACCGTGAGGTCGGTGACCACGGATGGGACCTCCTCAAGAAGAGGTTCAGAGAAGGCCAGTGAGAAGCTGAGACCGACCAGCCACGGTCATTCGACGTGGAGGACGGGCCAGGTAGGGTAGCGGGTAGTGTGCTTTTTTGGACTTGGAACAGCTACTAGCTACCCTCGCCAAACCTTGAGGTACCAGCCTTAGATCCGGGAACAATGTTGACCCATCCTGGCCTGGCCCACCATCGTTCTTTCTGTCGATTGTTGGTGGCCAGATGTGCAGGGGCCCGGCCCCTACGGTGAGTTGGATGATCGCTGTTTCATCGAGGCTGGAATCCACCAGAGAGGAAGGAATTGCTGTGGGATGCGCAGGACTTCAGTGGGCGGGAAGCACCGCGTGCATGGGTTTAATCGCTTCCTAAATTGTACACCAAACCTGTATATGAGCAGCACATGTCTCTCAATTGTATGTATCTACAGTAAGTGCGCTTGAGCCTGACAGTATGCACTGAAAATAGCAAGTCTTTGCTTTTTTCTTTGATTTCTGTGTAATTAGGTTGGTTCCTCGCAATGGAGGGACATCAGCCGGCTGTTTAAACACACCTTAAAAACGTTTCACTCACAATGACGGATTGAAAGGTCTTTGACAAGCAGAAGCATTTATGTCCAAAGGGTCATGAGTCATTGGTCCGGTCGTCCGGTCCTCGGTGGTCGGTCCATGTCGGTCCCAAAGTTCCCCAAACCACAGGCGATCAAGGTTAACGTCAATGCAAGATCAACACGTCAGACCGGTCGGCACCATCTAGCCATATCTAGTAGCCATGTCACGGATTTGGTGCCGGTGTTGTGGAGATTTGTTCGGGATCGGCCACCCCAAACGTGTGCTTCGCTACGCGCTTCGCCGCCAGGAGCGATGGCTCTGGTGTCGGGTCTACGACTGGGACCTGATTGGTTTTAAGCAATTGGCTGGTGAAGGCCTCGCAAAAACGCCCGGTGATGTGAACGTTTGAAGAAGAGTTGGCTGTTTCTGCACCTCACGAGTTTTGTCCGGAAGATAGATGGTGGTTGGGATGGGAGAAATCCGCCGGATGTCGACGGTCGACTTGTGGTTGGGTAGTTCATCCAGCAGACATGTGGCTGTTGCCGCCTTTGTGCTACTTTGTGCCACTTTGCCCTTTCCGTTGAGTGCCACTCACCGGGTTCCGCAAGCAGTCGGCATGCCCGTGGCAACTCACACAGCCGGGTGTGGGGTGCAGCTCTGTTCGAGACCATGCGGAGTTCGTGGTGGCATTTGGCGGAGTTCGTTTGGACCCGCAGCCGATGAGCTCACGTGCTCACTGGCGCCCTCTTGTTGTTCACGGGGCCCTCCATGCGTGAAGATTCCAGCTCATTGCTGCAGGGGAGGCCAATTTGCGTTGAGCACATGTTGAATCGAACCATTTGGGGAGACTTGAGCTGTTCTGGGTTGCATTCTGATGAATTGTGCGTGGTGAATCATGCGCGAATTCATGTTTTTCGTTTGTTGTTGGTTGAGTCATATTGAGTCTTAGTACGCTGCACCTCGCGTGAAACCTTCTCGTTTCGGGTGGGAAAGTGAAACGAAACTTCCGTCACCGGGACCCTCGGCACTCGGCACTGCTGTGCTCTCATCCACTGTCGGGATGTTGACCGTTGAGCACAGCCGTTTTCTTCAGCACAGCGGCAGGCCGTATCGATTTGTTGCAATTCATGGAGAGACATGGGGCGTGTGGCGAGGGACTCAGATCGGAGCGCCGCTGGACTTATGGCTGGACTATGCTGGACTTATGGCCTGCCCCGTTCAGAGAAAGCTAGCTTCTGGCATGTTCAAATCCATGCCTGGCGTGTGTCAGAAACCAATGGTCCATTGCTTAGAGAATGGTTTGTCTTGCAAGCACGTCATCGGAAACTCGGTTGCAAGCTGCAAAAGCTTAGAGATCTTGATAGGCTTTGGCCAAGAAACACTGGGGCCCTGGGGTTGTGAACAGGATAGCTTCTTCAACGTTCTCCTTTATTTGTGTGTCTTGATTAACAGCCCGTTTGGATTGAACCACCGCCCTTCATATGATTTCGAGGGTCAATTCATCAAGACTCGACAGTCCTTTGCATGTCTTATCACCCAAGGCGCCCAAGGGGTGGAGGTGGAGCTCTTCGCATCCAGCGAGGCGTCGGCTGACCAGTGCGGTGGTAGGGCTTGGGTTCCTGTCGTTTCATGTTCGGAGGGGCGCGTCGCTTCGCTTCGCAGAAGGGACGCAGTTGTAGCTTCAAGTTTAGGCAAGTCATCCGTGCAGTTCGGTGCTGTTGGCGGTCATGGGACTTGGGGTGGCGCCTGAGACCGCTGAGACCCTGGCATGTGATGATTGGTGGGTGGTCATTGACATGCCATGGACCTGTTCGGTCGGATGATTGGGACCCTGGTGAGGCCGGTTGGGGGTTCATTCGTAAAACTTCTTGCACAAGTCAGCCGAGATGGAGAGGAAAGGTCGCAGCTACCCTCATGTCATGTGGTTGTCCAATGGAGTTTGGATGCGGTCGAATTTGCGCTACGTACTGTACTAATTCGAATGTCATTGAGGATTCAATGGACTAATTCGCAGATCCTTCCATTTCCCCTGCCTGAAAAGCATGAACACAGCGCGTGTCGAATTGAAGCGGGTGCAGTTTCTGCTCCCACAAGCGGATGAGGACGCTCTCAAGTTCCAGTAGTGGAAAGATCTAGGGAGCCCTGCATTGCACCAAGGTACTTGATGTTACTTTCAGCCCATTGAATCTAAGCACGTCAGACATGAACGAGATGCAGTAATTCGAAGATCCGTTCAGAATCACAAGTATGTGTCATTGCTGGCAGAATTCACTATGCCCAAGAGGAAGTACCAAACGCGCCCATGACTGAATCTCATCCGCCGTCGCCAGGATGACGGAGGCTCCGATTCCGAGGCGGCCGCCGGGGTGAGGGGGTTTTCCCGCGCGAGCACGAGCGGTCGTGGAACCAAGCGGTTGAAAGGTGGACACCAGGTGAGCTTTGTGGCCCATTGCTTTGACCTGTGTGAATCAACACCACCTGGAGGAAGGTTCTGGTTTGTCGGGCAGCGTTTGGCGCTCGAGGAAGGTGGGATTTGTGGATATTTTGGAGGCATGACCCACGACTCCAGTTCCAAGGAAGCCATGACCTTGCAGGTTAGCTTTTTGTGTCCTCTCCTTCCTCTTTTCAGAGTCCAATTAAGACGGCTAGATCAGGAAGAAACGATGATACCAAGATGCCTGAAAACAATGAAAACAGCAGTACAAGTCTTCACTGATAGTTGAATTTTCATGAATTTTCTATTAGCCCTCCCCTTCACAGCGGAAGCACTTTATACTCTTGGAAACCTTTTTGACGCATCCCAGGAACATTGAAATGGTTTTGATTTGCCAAAGTCATTCTGCAGGCGTCCCCGACCTCGCAGCCTGCAGCTCAGTTTGCGGGGCTGTGGATAGTGGACATGTGATTTTTGGTCGGGCCTGTGGATTGAGCAGCGATCCAAGGTGCAGATGAACCTGACCATATACATGAGATTGAATGCGGTGGGTGGGTGTTCTGTGATGTTCATTGGGCCTGTCCTATTACCGGTAACAGTCAATAAACAATTATCACTATGTTTATTTGTTAACAAGGCCTTTACTAACCATCATCATCCACTGTTACTGGTAATAGGAAAGACCCAAGATGTTGACTAGATTTTATCACAGTTTGGTCTTGTGAACACTCACGATTGGTTCTCACAGTATCACAGTTTGGTCCTGTGCTGGCGGCCTATATGTTAATCACAGTGTTAGCTGACAATTCGCTTCGGTTTTGACTCATGATCCATCGAATAGTCCTTTCCATTAGTGGACAGAAATGACGTTGATCCATGTTTACTGTATAATAAGAGCGGTCCAGGGCTCGCAGGCCTGTACAGGTTTGGTTTTTCATATTCAAAAGGTGACACCAGTCATTCACGAGTGACCGGTCATGAAGGGTATGGGCGGGATTTGGCGGGCTCGACCTCGGAGCTTCCTCGAGCTTCCTCACTACGATCGACCTCGACCTCGGAGCTTCCTGTGCATGTACGGAAAACCCTTTTGGCATCCACCTAGGCCTTTTCGACACCGTCATGCGGTGATGAGAAACATTAATCATGCGGAGAACCCCCTATGATTCCATTGTGTGTGTGTGTGTGTTTTTCCAATAACAGAATAGTTTTTGAGCTCCTGAACTTCTCCCAAAGTTCCAAGCAACTGCTAACCACGGTGTTGTCCAAGCTGCTGCATCGTTTTTCCTCTCTCCCCCTCCCAATTGGCCGGCAAGTTGCATCCACCCTCCAGAACGCCCCAGTCCATTGCCCTGCAGTTCGGTCAGAATCGGATTTCGACTCGAAGCCGTTCCTCGTTCGCCGCCGGACGGAGTCCCACGAGCTTTGGGACCTTCAATCCGGAGGACAGTTACTTCGACGAGACGAAGCATGGATACGAATCATGAAGCATCTCATGATACAAATGATTGAAGCATGGATACAAATGATTTGTCCATGATACAAATGAACTCATCATGGACACTGGGGATTGGACTGAAGCATGGGTAGCAAGTAGATGTTTCTACTTGCCAGTTCGTGGCCCAAATCATACATGTTCATCTCCAGGTTTCAAGTCATGGCCTCTTTTTTGGATAAGAAATTCCATGTCCAACTGAATATGATAAGATGTGTTTCCGGAACGCGGTGGCTTTGCTGAAGTTCGATGAACAGCTCGATGAACTGCTTTGGAAGGACTGAAAAAAACGGCTCGTTCCGCGAGGCGAAGAGATCCCGGCATCGTTCCTGCTTCGTCAGGACCCACAGGATCCGGCGTGGCGGGGGACGTTCATCGGCTTGGCAAAGCTCCAGGTGCGATCTGGGATCGGTTTCCACTGGGACGCTCATGGAACATGAGCTTATATCTCTTGTTAAGAAACAAGGATGATGTTTTTTTAGTGTGTTTTAAGTAGTTCTTTGTGGATCATTGTGCATGTTTTGTTTGGTCAAAGACTCTCTGGGGTCGTGCCGTTTCCTCAAGTGGCCAGCTCACCATCATCGACATGACCGGGATGCTGTCATCCCAGCAGCGGAAGCCCATCGCGCAGCCGCGGACCGAGCCCTTTTGCACCACTTCGACCCACGTCACGTCCGGCGTTGCGTCCCGCGCTGCGTTCGGACGCTTTGATTCGAGGTCCGAGTCTCCCAGCGGCTCAGACTAGCGAAAAGTGTGGAGCATCGGATTCGATGAATGTTTATCTCCAGGTTTCGGCAAGAACGAACGTGACATGTGGTAAAAAAAAAAAAAAAACATTGTCATGTTTGACTCAGATTTGACTCATACCAACCTTGCCCTGATCCAACCAGCCAGATGTTGGTGCCGGTGATCACTCCAGGTGTTTCTTGAAGGGTCCTGTCGCCGCGATGAGGCACAATAGAAACAACATGTCAATGGTACTGTCAATGGTCTTTGAGAGATACATGTGCATTCAGAGAATGCAGGACAGAAACATGCAGAAACAATTCTTCGAAGCAAAGTCTCTGTGTTTTCGGGTCCTTTTCAGACAAAGTCGCTGCTAAACGTTGTCCAACGGTCACTAGCCTCAGACCCCCAACAGATGGGGACAGTGACGGGGGTTCTCAGATGGTGCTGCAGAGCAGGTTTGCCCAGCAGAGCCGGTTCTCCAACAGAGCATGCAGAAGTGAAGACTGTTGAGGGCAGTTGGTTGATGGTTGTTCATGGGGCACACATAGTGAAACCACATTGGAATCATATTCTATTCTCTACCTCATGTCCATAGGCCCCAAAAAGGCAGCAAGATGGCCAGGTTGAGCCCCAAGGACTCCACCATTGCGCCGATCTGGAGTTTGAAACACTTCGGACCGAAACGCCGAACCGCTGCGCTGGACCGAAAGGCTGCGAGCGTCATGAGAGGAATCACTCAGATGTAGTACAGAAGGCTACGGCATGCGTCCCAGGCGTCTACCTGCAGCATCTACTGTTTCTATCTATATATAGTACAGAACATCGCCCCATCGCACATCACCGGGGCATATTAATATCTTCCCCGAGCCGCGGGGATTGACGAGCCCAGTTGATTTCAAGAACCGGGAGAAAGAGGAAGCAATAAAAGAAACAATGGCAAAGTCAAACACCGACACGAACAGCCTGTCACAGCAAACCAACAGCAAAGAGCACTGAAAGCTGAACAGAAGACAACTTGGTGTTTGGCACAATGCATCCTGCCTTGCTTCACTGGGACAAAATTCCTCAGCCGCGGAAGGTGTGCCAGCAACTTGGCAGAGATTTGGGGGGTGTCTTAAAAATGGAGGATGTTTTAGATATGACGCCTTTAGTTCAGAAGTCGCAGGACAGTTTCCCTCAGGTCCTAGCTGCTCGGTCTGTTCATGTCAACGAGCAAAACATGGAAGAAGGCGCTGGAGCCGCTGGTGTTCCATTGTGTGTGTGTTTAGTATTATGCTGGAGGGAAGCTCTTGAAAAAATACAATGATAAGGATGTTGGCGAATGCTCTCAGATCATTGAACACGTACTTTGAAAGAGAGGCACATTTACTAAACACCACTGGGAGCGCGCGAACGCCACTGGTACCAAGCGTTTGGCATCCTTAGCCCAACGCGAAGTACGGCTTCCACTAGCATTCAAGTGAAAGCTTCCCGAGGGGGGTGCACCAGAAATCAGCCACACTCATTGGAACATGCATCAGACACGAGAAGGAAAAGGAAAACAAACTCATTGGCACTACTAGCGTCTTGTTACTAGTAGTGATGGCCTCCACCTAATAGCGTCCTTGTTCCTAGTAGCTTCTTGTTACTAGTCTTGGCGCCGTATTCAGACGGCCACTGGGGCCTGCACTCGAGGCCGCGCGGTCTCACGCAGTTGCCAGCGCTCCATGCGGCGCAAGACTTCCTGAGACCTCCAAGCCTCTTGGATCGAGGGTCGTCTCCGGCGCGTTGGTGTCGAAATAGGAGATGTAGAGACATCACGATGACGAAGACCTATGGTCGTTCTGTGGCTGAAAGGATTTCCGGGAGAGACATGGAAATACAAGCTGTGCAAAGGAGCTGTGCAAAGAGCTCCCATACCGTGTATTCGAGCATCCGTGTATTCGAGCCAGTTCGTTTATATACTATATTTGCGCTTACATGGAAGCTGGAAAAGCATAGAAAAACGCAGGGCGGTTGACTGCTGGTACTGCAAAGGACGGGCATGAAAAGGATCAACACATATCTAATATCAAACTTGTTTGGTCAAAGCCATGCCAGAAGGACATCTGTAGTGCCTCTGAGGGAATGAAACGTTTGCAACTTGACCTTTCAATCTTATTATAAGGGACCATCCTATGAAGTGATCATCCTAATCAGTCCAAAGCATCAAGTACAGTAGAGGATTAGCATGCTTCACATTGTTTCACCATGTTTGGCCATCACTATTAGGTTGGAGGCCATCGCTACTAGGTAGTTGGAGTCCATCGATAGTAGGGTGGAGGCTATCCCTATTAGGTTCCTTTTAGGCCAGTCTGGTCGCTCCAAGGCCTCAAAGCTTCTGCAGCAGCACGCCTGGAGGCATCCCACCTGGGCGAACGCCTGCGGGCCTCGCACCAGGCGCTGCTTTGGGGTGCCGTGGGGAGGAAGGAGGGCTGGAAGGAGGGCTTGTGGGAGTCATGTGGAGGTACAACCGGTTCTTACTGTCCAGTTGATGATGTTTTTGAACTACAGAGAATCTGAACGTAGTTGAGAAATGCGCGAAGAGCCACTCAAACAGATGTGTTGAGCAGAGGCGACTGGAACTAAATAGAGCAGTTTTGATGAACCATGGATCAGCCATTCACTTTCATTGCGACCGCACAGGGGGGCCACGTTAAATCTTCGGACCCAGTTGAGGTCAACTGGGTCAACCGGGTCAACTGGGTCCGGAGATTTAGCGTGGCCACCGGTCCACCGCCACCACCACTACTACTACTGCCACCACTACTACTACTTCTACTACTTGGGTCAACTGGGGTGAACTGGGTCAACTTGGGGCGATCTAGAGCAACTGGGGTCTACTGGGTCCACTGCTACTACCAGGTTGTGATAGAGGCATTGTTTGAACTGGATCAGGAAAGATCACCAATCAACCTCAACATGGGATGCCTGGTGTGGAGTGTGTGGCTTCTATGTGTTAGATTGTGTTTTCACAACTCATTATTGTTGTTTATGCGCTTGTTTTCTACCGAGGTTCTGATGGAAGCAGTGTCTCAACTGGCTCAGGAAAAGTCTTAAACCAACCTCAACGCGGGACACCTGGCGTTGAGCTTGGTTTCCAATGGTTAGACTATGTATTTCTATGTGTCAATGTTGTTTATGCGGCCATGGTCGACTCGATGGAAGAGGGAGTCCCAACCAAGCTCAACACAAAATGTTTTGTGGTGATATTGGTTTCTAGCTTTCTTTTACTAGCTTTACATCACCAACTCGCTTGCTCACAGGTCGTCGATAGATCTAGAGCTATCTCTTGACCCGCAGGAAGAAGCGGTCCCCAACTGTTGGCTTCTGAAGTGGATCAAGCTGGATCAACCGAGGTTGTGATGGAGACCGTTGTTGAACTTGAACAAGTAAGGTTCCGAATCAAGCTCTACACGGAATGTCTGATGTTGAGATTGGTTTCCATTGATTAGATCATGTCTTTATAGCTCCATGTTGCCACAGATGAGGATGGTTGGTGTTGATCTAAAGTACAGGTCACTTACTCAGGTTCCAGGATTCTATGGATGAGTTGACTTAGTTGTCTGTGGTTTGGTGGATAGACTGTGACGATCGAACACGAAGCACCTGATCCCTGCTTTGGGCCTGGAAAAGATCCACAAGTCGACCACGGGATCCTCACAGAAACCGAACTCTGACTCTGACTGTGACCTGGAAAAGATTTTGTAATTACAAGTGCCTCGCTAGTAGTAACAAGTGCCTTACTAGTAGTAACAAGAAGCTATTTAGATTTATTTTGCAGAAGAAAAACACTTCCAAATCCGCAGCAGTTCGCACGAAAGGGGATAATTGGTGATTGAAACTTCCCCTGTCTGAAAGGTCCAGATCATCGTTACAACTTGAAATTTAGCTCCACGCATGCCATTCGTTGGCCATTCTTTTGACGGCCGTTTGTCCATGCAGTGGCTACGCCTGCTTCACGTGGGGTGCCCAATGGAAGTACAAAACCGATGAACTTGATAAAAACAAGGTTTTGTCCAAGCTCAACACGGGAACCCTGGTGTTGAGACTGTCTTATTTTACACCTAGCACTAGTAGGGATTCATCTTTGATCGAGCATACTCAGTATAGTCGTTGCCAGACCTTGAACCCAGTGGACCCAAGTTGACCCATAAGCAGTAGTGGTAGTGGTGATAGTAGTGGTGGTGGACCCAGTTGACCCAGTTGAACTGATGGTTAGTTGACGCGGTTGACCCGGGCCGCGCTATATCTCTGGACCCACTTGACCCAGTTGACACGTAGTAGTAGCAGTAGTAGTCGTGGTGGTCGAATTGACCAGGAGGGCACGCTAAATCTGCGGACCCAGTTGACGCGCAGTAGTAGCAGGATGTAGCAGGGTAGTGGTCGGAGTGGTCGACTTGACCAGGCGGCCACGCTAAATCTCTGGACCCAGTTGACCCAGTTGAGGTCAATTGGGTCAACTGGGTCAACCGGGTCAACTGGGACCACAGATTTAGCGGCCCCCCTGTGCCGACGCACTCTTCACTTTGTTCATATTCCTCTTTTGCTGCAGCCATCCTCTCAGAGATTAGACGCCAAAAATCCACCCTAACCACCTTCTCAGGAGGTAGTTGGAGCCCTAGGGATTGAACAATTTGTTCTTAAGGTTGAGTTGTTCATCTCGGTAGAGCTGTCCATTGGCCGGTGTCTTGGACGCCCAGGTCCAGTTCCAATCCGACACCGCTCAAAGACCGGCCGCTCAAAAGGGCTTTTTGTTGAGTGGTTTTGTAAGTGACAAGACAGGATTTTTCCCCAAAGAGCCTGACTCCTTGACAAGGGTTTCTCAAATGTTCTCAATTTGTTGCATGGAAACATTAAACTGCTGCTATTTGGCGTCGATGCTAGTGTAACTGGTTCCAGAGAACATGTTTTCTTTGAATACCTTCTGGACGGTCTCCAGTGTCGCATTTTTGCTGTTCCCAGTGTGCCAGTATCATGCAGAGTCGAACAGCGAGCTTGAGCACCGGTCGACGCCGACGCGGCTCCCGGGGTCGCGTCTCGAGTATGGCCTCGTCAGGCAGTGATGGCCTCTCAGATCATCATTGACAGGATGGAGGCCGGACGTCCGACGGCCTCTCAGCCCCGAAGGAAAGAGACGTGCCGTCGTTTGGATGGGCCAAACAGGCGGTTTCCACGTTCGAGTCGTAGAGGTCCAAATGCTTCGGGTCCAGTGGTGGATCAGAGCAAGTGGGCAGACAAGCTGACTGTTGAAGGTTGTCCAGATTTGGGACCCGGAACTCAACTTCTGTCAAAGGCCAAGCTGATGGTCGCTGATGCCTGGCAGGCGCGAGAGGAATCCTGGGTTGACAGGAGTTTTGCTCGTCAGTGACTCAAGTAATTGCTGGGGTGGGAGATGAGGGTTTTCTGTTTCAGCTCGACAGGGTGTCGATTTCGTGTGCGATCTTTCTCAGTGTCCAAACGGTCTGCCGATCGCCTCACCTCCCGGGGTGTGGAACGGTCGCACCAGACCAGATGATGGTGCCATGTCTATGGATCATGGGGCATTTATAATATGCGTGCATTAAACAACAAACACACAAACTTATGATTATGCGTACTGACTCGACAGCGGTGCCACACGCCAGCCTAAGTAAACTGCCTAAGGTTCCAGGTAACTGAAAACAGGTAAGAGCAAGACACCTCCAAAGCCTCCAACACCAAG